TGGAAGTCTGATTTCCATAAAAGTAGATGGTTCACTCGCGGCTGGACTTTACAGGAGTTGCTTGCCCCTATATCTGTCGACTTCTTTTCTGCCGATGGGAACGTGCTCGGTAACAAAGGCTCTCTTTCACATCAGATCAATCTTGCTACAGGTATACCCATCGAGATCTTTTGGAAGAAAAGGTCTTTCCTCTCATACAGCGTTAGCGAGCGAATGTCCTGGACAAAAGGCCGTCAAACCAAACGCGAAGAAGACGCAGCTTATTGTCTGTTTGGCATGTTCGACGTCCAGTTGCCGGTCATGTATGGAGAAGGGGAGAAGAGGGCTCTTGTACGGCTGCAGAAGGCTATTCACGATGTATCCAGTTACCCACCACCGCCTCCTCCGCCTCCCCCGCAGTTTCCCTATGCGCAACTGCTTTCGTTACCTCCACCGCCACCACCACCACCTCCTCCACCTCCGCATCACCAGTATCTTTCGGGTATGGAGCCACCCACTGACGCTCATCGAACCCTCCGAGGACGATCGAGCAAACTATAGCAGCATCCTATGCAGGCTCTATAGGGGTTCAGCGTATCGACTGGAACACACAAAGCTGCTAAACGAATGTAGTCAGCCTTTTGTTTATTGCCAGTCTATCAACTCAGGTGACGTCTATTTCGTGATAACGCAGCTGGTGCATATGATCAGAAACATGCCGCTACATGATAGAATCGCCTGACAGATACGGCCTTATGTGTATCGATGCTCGAAGAATATGCTGAATGCAGTAGGCACCGCCTGCCGGCTGAACGCATCTAGATATCTTAATGTTCCCTTGGGGTGGCCCATTTGTAGTAGACATGTGGGCGTTATGTATGATGTAGAAGCACAAAGCGGGGTGGTTTCATGCACCCTCCGCCTCGTCCAAAAGCGGTGCACACACCCAACAACAGAAAATCCAGGTTTCGACGCATATCGACTAGCACTCGAGGTCCCTGGTATGATAGATGTGATCGGCATGCAAGCAGGCACATTGACCGACGTTTCAAGCTGACAATGCAGCTACCCACGCCCAATAGGTTGCGCCACTAGAATGTAACTCCAATCAGGAAAACTGCTGCTATCACGATGCATGACAGTACAAGAAATCTCTTTGGGCGTCTGTCTCATGAAGCACAACTTGCGCCTTGCTTACATCGCGCGCGCTGGTTCCTTTGTCTGCTTACCCCCTCTTCTCTGCTCACCGACTTGAACTTGAAGCTCCTGTGAGACGAGTCATTTCTCCCGCACATGCTTCAGCCCGCTTCAATGCCATGGCTCCATCATGGCGCATGAAAAGTAGCTTCACTCTCAGCCTTGCTGCCCTCGTCTTCTTCCAGCCTCGCCTGATAGCAGCGCAATGCGACATCCCGCCTCTGACACTCACCTGGTCCAACATCACCGTCACACAGGACGGTCTCGGTGTCGCGCGTGGGATTGAACTTGGTATCGGAAGTCCGCACCAGATCTTCGCTTTCAGGCCGTCGACTACGCTCAACAACACGCGGATCAACAATGTTATCAATTGCGGATCTGCGAGCAACGATAGCTGCATCGGTGGTCTAGGTGGTGCTTTCGATGCGCCAAAGTCGACATCGTATGCGGTTTCGATCAAGAGCCAGTGGAATGGCAGCCAAGTCGACGCTGAAGACAGTACCGGTGCATACGTCTACTTCAACGATGATGTCGCGTTTCAGGAGAATGGCGATGTCGACGGCTTTCCATTGGTCATGGATAGTGAAGTCTGGGGAGGTGAGGATCCCTCGATGCGTCTCGTCCAATGCGGGCTGTCGAGCTATGAATGAAGCTGACTGATAGCAGGTGTGCAATCTGGTCTACCTCTCGGAACCAACTCCTCCTTCCTCCGCGCTGCAGTCGCTGGTGGTGTCGCGCCATCTCAGGTATTCGGTCTTTGGAGTGGTAGCAGGGGTATCGATCCACATGACGGTTTGCTCGTTGTGGGAGGATATGATCGCGCGCGGGTAGACCCTGCATCCAACTTCACCACTTTCCCGATCGGCGAATGGAACCTCATGCGGGCCTGCCCTCTACAGGTAACGGTCACAAACCTGACGTATCAGGATATACCGCTCATACCAGACGGAACCGATGGGCTGATTGCTTGCATTGAGCCATCGACGCAGCGCTTCGTCTTTCCGCCAGCAATTGCGCAAGCCTTCGGAAACTCTACTGATCAGAATGAGACCGCATATCCGGGGAAGATGCAGTACAACGTCTCCAATCGTCCCGGCGGCGATCTTGTTCTAACATTGGCAGGCGGCTATCAGTCCAGGATACCTAACAAGGAACTGTTCGCGCCACTACGCGGATCTGACGAGTACGGCCGGTATGCCATCACCAACGACAGCACACTCGAAGCGTTCGTGTCGGATACGCGACAAGATGATCCAAGTGATGTCGATAGTACCTTGGGAGGGCTCTTCTTGACCTTCAACTATCTTTTAGTAGATTACGCGAAAAACGAGTTCCAACTTGCGCCAGCTGTCGCAGCCAATGCGGAAAACGTGTCGCCAAACCCTACCACTGTCTGCACACCTACCAACATCACGCCCGCGAGCCCAACTCCGATAGTCGAAAAGAAATCAACCAACAAAGGTGCGATTGCAGGTGGTGTTGTTGGAGGTGTTGCTGGACTGGCGCTGCTTGGAGCCATGGGCTTCCTGCTGTTTAGGCGGAACCGCCGAGCCAAGAACCCTGCTGTCAGCGAGATCGATGGGCAAACAATTGAACCAGTATCGCGGCAGCCGTCAGAGATGATGGCGCATGAAGTTACACCTGTGCATGAGATGTCTGCGAGTCGATACGCAAGTTTCCGAAAGCCTGAAGGGAGGGGATGGCATTGATCGTGCGCGTGAGCGTGAGAAAAGGGGACGGGAGGCGGGCAGATCCGCTTCGGCTGCGTAATGACATACATAGTTCTGCACTAAATTTCTGGGCGCTATCTCGAGCAGTCCATTGTTCGCCCAAGTCGCCCTTATCATTCCATCATGCCTTTCGTTCTCTCATGACAAAAGCTTCGCTTTCCTAGTCGGCTCATAAACGGGAACCTTCATAGGTACCACATCGCTGTCGCGACAATAGCTCACTTCTGCCCACCTCAACCAGCCCGCGTACGTCATATTGGCACAGTCGCTGCCACGATGTTTTCTCCACAGCATACCGAGAGTGTCGCCTCCGAACAGCTTCGCCGAGAACCCGTGCCCAAGCTTCAAACACCAGCTATCCGCCACTACCTTCTCCACGATACGCCTCGCAAGTGCTTGATCGTCTGTCTCAATCTCGCGCTCCTTGGGTAACCGAAGACTTAAAAGATCAAATTGCCGCTGACCACTCCATCCAGTCATCTGCTCGTGCGCAAAGGCCCCGTCCATCATGCTGAGCAGCCAGCACTTCTCTCTGACATACTTCGGCCCGTCCCATCCATCTTCTTCATCCACCCAGCCTTGTGCTGCTCCCATGCATTGGATCTGAATCGCGTAGTCCGTCATGGCCTCGTCATTGATCACCATTTTCTCCTGTCCTTCCTCTTCTACAACAACCTCTTGTGGCACACGCATAAGCGGGACGTGGGACACCATTGGATGCGCATGCGTGCCGATCGTGTTGGTCTTGCCTTCCCAGACCTGGAGCAAGATATAATGTGCGCGCTGCACAAGCGGGTTGTTCGCTCGACACATGAGCGAGAAATTCACGATCTGCGGCTCATCTGCTCCCAGCGTGAAGCCGGCGAAGTCGTAAGGCGAATCTGGGTTGGTGATGTGTTCGGTCCAGAGACGATTTAGGTCGCCGAATTGAAGGATGCCAACATCGAGATACACACCACCGTACTTCAACAGGAGCGGATAGCGGATGAGATCTGAGGTGTGTTGTGCAGCATACTGTCCGTCCAGGGTGCCGTTTGTGAAAGCCGCCGGTACAATCGAGGAAGACTTGGTGTCAATGTAGTTGCCTACATTCAACGGGGAATTTGGCACGTTGTCAAGGACATAGATGGTCCATCCCAGTGGTGAGAAGCGGCGGTACCAAGCAAGGACGTTGCGTAGTAGGACGGGTGGGATCGTTCGGATGCCAGAATGCCAGAACGCGAATATGGACTTTGAGTCAACCAGAGGTGATTTCGGCGATAAGAGCTCTTCGGGTAGAGGCCCTTCTGTTGATATAGGCTCCAGAACCTTGGACGGAATTCTTGAAGTTCCTGGAATCAATGGGTAATCCATGATTCGGCTTAATCGTAGACGGTCGATCTTGATCTTTGAATTGTTCTCTTAGTTGACAGGCAACTGCATTACGAATGCCAGTATAACTTTGGTGCTATATATCTGGGAAGGTACGCAGGAGTCACTGCGCATCGTCCAATGGTCATTTCGACTCATACACGCTAATATACGCGTGACGTCATCGGGCATATATTTTTCACCAGCGTCTTACGAAGCATCAAAACGTGGTGCCGCGATATTATCACTCGATATTTGCTTGGGTAGACACGTCTGAGTAACATTGGTCATTCAGCGCACTCTGGTCTGCCCAGGAACATGCCTGCCAAGCACACGACAATGTGTACCAAATCAACGATCGAGCCCAAGAGCCAACTCGTATATGGTGCAAGACGATCAGATATCATGCGCTGACGATTAAGAGACTGGCTGGAGACAGGCTTGAGTCTCAAATCTCCGGTCGGGGCTGTCTTATCTACGCCAGTCTGTAGGAGGATTGATCACATGCGTTGGGTAAGCTCATTAGAGCAACGAATTACACTCAAGACCTCACAGAACGCACAGTAGGTGCAGATACGGTAACTTGACCATTTTGGCGAGAAATTGGAGTCGCTTGTTTCCACAGTCGTCACCGCGCCATCGAATCGCGACTTCCGTTTACCGCCAAGCACGCGACCAAATGTGCTGAGTCTAGACTGCTACCTTCAATGCCAGACTATCGTCCTCCATCGACACACCATCAAAATGCAGCAACCCAGATCCGCCCTCTCGCCCCTTCCAGACATCGTGCGCGGCCCATCCGCACCGCCGCGACTACCACCTCGCCCTTCTCCACCACCGCCTGCTCCAGACTTCCTCGTCATCGGCTTGTTTGCCCTACGACTCACAAAGCGCTTGATAGAGAGCCTCGAGTACTATCCCGGTCGCGACGCTGACATCATCTGGCTCGTCAACTTCCTCTCGCCCTTCCACAACGATTACGAACTAGCCAAGATCTCAGGTGCTCGAAGAGATGACTACCTCGCAAATTATCAGAGCATTGTATCGCGAATGAAGAAGCAGCCAAAATATCCGATGCGGTTCATGCAGATGAACCCCGATAAGTCCGCGCAACCGTCAAGGCGGAGCACTGAGACCGAGCGGCCAAGCCAGATGACCGACGGTAAGTACATTTGCCCATGTGACAAGCCCGCTAGGCTAACATAACCCAGCGGAAAGACAGGAGATCATCAACTTCTGCGACGCAGCAGGCGAGTGGGGATCTATCCTTCCGATACCAGCGCGAGAAGCAGAGAGAATGGTCGAGCTGGCTGACCGAAGGAAAATCGCCGATCTCGAAGAGCCTCATCGGCAACGCCAGCAGTACGAAGACAGAGAGGGGCCACGAGATCGCATGCAGTCGCGGTCTGAGGATAGAGAGGAATTGCTAGATCGGAGACCATCACGATTCGAGCCACATTCTTTGCCTTACAATACGAGACGACCATTGCAAGAGGTCAGGCAGTCAGAACGCGAGGACAGATATCGACCACATAATACTGGGGTGTGGCGTGGCGACGAGTACCTTCCGCCTGATGTAAGGCAGCCGCCAGCGGATACGAGAAGGAGACGTCGGGTATCTTTTGCTGATGACAGGCAGTACTTTGAGGTAAGAGCCTAGCACTCGTATGGGTCTCAAACACTTGCTGACCCGAACAGGATGAACGGCGATGAGTAGATTGGGGTGAGATGCATGCTAGTGATCCAGTCGTTCACACATGCGCTCGAGGTCTTGCATGCTTGGATAGAGATGGGAATGAGGCTTTGCAGGAAATGTTTTTTATACGCGTTATGTGTATCTAGGAATTGTTGATGCTGTCGATACAGTTTGAGTAGGTACGACAAGAATTTGAGCAATGACATGATGATATGAGAGTAATGTTGATGCAACTAGTCTAGTCTATTATGAAGAAATGTACGAAAGCGAAAACGCAGGAGAACAAGAAAGCAGAGTAAAGCAAACGCAAGACACAGGAAAATGCAGCCTACCCAACCCCACCATCTCGTCAGCACGATCCGAAAGTGCCAATCATCATCAACCTGGCAACCACCTACATCCAAAACATCGTGTTATCCAGCGCCTTATTCCAGGGATTCTTCCGCGCCATATCCATCCCAGTCCACTTCCCCCAAACCTTCGCCGCCTCCTCCAACGCCCATTCCTTACACTTTTTCGCCACATCGTCCTTGTGCAACAGCTCCATGATCTCTTCTCCCCTAGTCTTTGCTGGCCAGACTCCAGTGGCCGTCTTGGTCTGTTCTTTGATTGGCTTGTAGATCGACTGTCTGACCCTGCGTTTGTGATCTTCCATCTCAGTCTTCTTCTTTTTGAGCTCTTCAGCTACGTCGGTGTCGCCGTTGAGGAAAGATCGCAGGTAGATTCTGCCGCGTTCGCAAAGGCGATCGGCGTAGTAGGCGGGTGGGGCGTAGGAGACGCCGCAGCTAGCTCGGACGTAGGTGTATGAGAGTTGGTGGGTCTGCGTGTGTTAGTCGGGTATTCTATAAAATCAGTGTGTGTGTGCGCAGTGGATAACTTACGAAAGTAGCTAGTTCTGCCACGTCCCAATCGGCATCGTCTTGGATAACGAAGTAGTGCGCTGGTTTCGTGGTACCTTGTAGGCCGCTGTGAGACTGGAGGAAGAACTCCTTGAAGTACGGAGACGTTACTGATGTGTCGACGACGGTACCTGGCTTGCAGTTTCCACCTTTGCCTTCCTTGTCTTCTTCTTTCGTGGGATAGAAGCGTGTGTGGTGATGTTTGGTGACGATGATAGAGGTGAGTTTCAAGTCCCCTTTCCATTTCTTCTCTTTCTTGACTTTCTCGTAAGCGCTCCTGATAGCGCGCACTTCTTGCTCAACGACCTTGCCGAATTGACCTTCGCTCACTCCGTCTCGGTAGTAAATCATTTTTGTAGGTAGCTTCAGTCGTGGTTTGGGTATAGGGGCGTTCTTGGGCTTGATAGGGTAATCGTAGTAGGCTCGTAGACGCTCCACTGTCATCGATTCGACCTCTTGGATGATCTGGTAGGGTTAGCTAAAGCGATACAAATTGTTTAGAATTCCTCTTGCTTACCTCGCGGTCTGTTCTATCCGGGTTTTGGAGGCGCATGGATCCAAGAAACTTGCCACCATATTCGTCCACGGACCCAACAAGCGCGGCAATCGAAGGGCAACCATCGATGGAGACTAGCGATGGATGTGTGACGTCAGCGCCAAGAAGCATGGTCTCCTTTAATCGATGCTCAAGCGACTGCTCGAAGTTGGCCACGCTATCACCAGCTGAGTGGTTGATGCCTTCGCATTTTAGATTGACCTTCATCATGACGTTGCCGAGGTATTGTTCAACCTTTGCAGCGTCTGCGAAGACTTTGGGTTCAGTGATGCACACCGCGTGGAGTCCAAATTTGCGGTCCGCTAGATCTTTGAAGAACTGATAGGCCTGTCTGTCTGGCTTTGGGAGCAAGAGAACAACGATCTTCTTGCGTCCCTCATTGAATGTCTCCTTGACGTACTGGAGAGCTTGATGTAGCTGGTCAAATTCGAAGTTCAGCAAGTCTCGTCGTGTTACCAAAAACTTGCTATCCTTGTTGTTGCCGCCAATATTGTACCGTTGCAGTACCTCTTTCAAAGTTGCTTGGAGAGTACTGGTCTCTGATGTGGTAAGCAGATACACCTGAACACCAGCACTCACCGTAGGGCCGGACTCAAGAAATTCGCAATCCTTCAACGTCCAGCGGGGTGTTTCGCCGAATTTGCCTTTACCCACGTGTTCGTTGTAGAGATCTTTCTTCTTATTAGCACCGTATATGATGGAAGGATAACGCATAGTGGTGCTGTTGATGTTCAGAAGTCTGGGAACGATGGTAAGGGGTTGACAATGAGCCTAGAATAAGGTTAGTCGGGATAGCAGGACGTATTAGTTCTTGACTTACGAATGTTACGCTGTCTGAACCAAGAGCTTGCTTGATCTTGAGAAAGTCGAAGACGTTATCGATCAGTGAAACGCCCTCTTTAGGTGTCAGGGCCGCTCGCTTGAGCATAGTGTCGGTAAGGTGGTCAGGGACAGGGCGACGATAGATCTGGTGGCGAAGAATCTGAAGTTTGCCAGCGGCAAACCACTCTTTGTCGCTTGGAGTACCAAGATTGATACCGGGAAGGGCGCCTGTTTCGCCTTTGAACTCTTTGGGGTAGGCTAACGTGGTTAAAACACCGTCAAAATAGTAGAAAGGTATAGCTTACCCTCTTTCAAGTACTTCAGTACTTCTTTTGTCTTCGTACTTCCGTCGGGCATCTTCTTATCGAACTTAAGATCTTTGAGGGGAGTCTCTCTACTTGTACCCGAGACGGTCTTTTCTCGTCCTGAGACATCGTTCCAGTCTCGTTGACGATCTTTCGGGTCCTTTCCGCGGCCGTATCTAATCTCGACTCGTAGAGCATTGAGTGCCGCCCACCTAGTCCTCTCGTTGGAAAAGGTCTCGGTATCTTTGAGGAACTCGTCGACAGTCTGGGAGCGATAGAAAGCACTGGTTCCATGGTTGACATTGAGAACGATGCCAGCTTGGAGAGGCTTGATGGTGTAGAAATATCCTTGCATTGTCATAAGAGATGGTGAGAGATGCTGTTTTCTGCCAGTGACGAAGAACTTGTTTGCGCCGATGCGTATGACCTCGTCAGTGTTCAAGCTCTTTGATATTAGAATATTCAGGGCTTTGACCTCGATGCTAGAGTCCCAGAGATGAGGCTTGTCCATGTGACCGCCAACATACTCTCGTAGGTTGCTGAAGTCGAGTTCACGAAGAAGCTTCAACTTGAGCTCGCGTTCTACATTGGTGCCGTCGCGACATCCGTCCGGTATCTTGTGAGGGCCCGTAAACTTCTTGTCGTCTTCTTGATCATGCAGTTTCTTCCATGAGATGATAGTGGATATGTTGTCCGTGGCGAGAGAATCTTTGTTGTTCCGCAAAATGTCCACACTATCGATCATGGTACGGACAAGCTTTTCCAGCTTCTTTTTGTTCTGTCCGACAGGAAGATCAAGAATTTGGTATTCGTAGAAGGTCGTCTTCTCATCGATGCCAATCTTGAAGAAGTTCGTCGTGACCTCAGTCTTGATAGCATCAGTGATAGTCCTGCATGAGCCTTTCTGCGGGGGATATTGCGACAGTATTCTTGACTCGCCCCTTTTCAGAGCTTCCTCCTTCTGATCAACTGCCCGAAGTGCCTCGTTCTTCTCTTCCTCGGTAATGTCGGGCTTGGTTTGTGTGCCTTGTGTCGGGGCTGGGGTTTGTCCGCTTTGCTCCTCTGCCGGCTCGGATGAGTCTGGAACCTGGCCGGCAGGTACCTCCTGCTCTGGGGGAGCATTGGGCTGTTCGGAAGAACGTGAGGGAATGTTACCGCGCTGTTGTAGTATTTTGATGTAACCTTTCGCGTAAGCGACACATTTCTGAGGCGTGATGTTCTTGTTGATCCAGGCCATAGACGATACCGGGGAGTTTATTTTCGGGCAAAGCCAGGCGTGCGCTTTGCCATCCTTCTCGGAGTGCCGCTCTCCACACAAGATGCATGGGTCATCGTCCATGTGATCTTCGATTAGTCGTAGCTGTTCTGGCTGGAGTAGGTCTTCAGGCTTCGCCGTCGCTTTCCTTTTCGGAGCCATGCTGAAGGTAGAGCTTTGTACTTTGGTCTGAGAAACTCTAACTATTGAATGCTTGGGGCGAAGAAGATTGACCAAGGCTAATTTGCTCGAGCGATATTGAAGCATGTATAGAGCGAGTGCTGCTGTTCATATATCCATGTCAGTTTTGCTTGCTCTATTGACTCAAGCATCGGCCAAATGCTTGTTGTTGTTCGCGATGTGATTGGGAAGTGCTACAATCATGTATCAAGCATGTCTCATTCACCACAATCGGCTTCCTTCGCGCTATGAGACATAAGCGCCTTGAGCGTGCAAGCATTGTGCTCACCCTGTATGCAGTTCTACTGCGACATCGGCGGTTAGCTAAGACAGTGAGTGGTGTTGGAATGCGTTCTGAGGGGTGTGGAATTCCACGAACCTGTTGACAATTCGCTCCTTCCGTCTACCGCTCTTCCGGATCTGATTGCTCATTTTAGCGCTAAATACGGAAAGAGTCAAGAGGAAGCTGAAGAATCGGCCTTTCGCATGTTGTAGGAAAATGAATAAGCCCTAGAAGCCATGCAAGCCAATCTATAACTGCGACGGCTCCGCGCGTGTATAAATACGGAATGAACGTCGCCCTCCCAACGCCAAGACATGCATTCGTCAATCATACCATGCGACTCTCTACTGCGTCGCACATTGAGGACCCTCAGCCTCCTCGTCATCGTCTTCCCACTCAGCGCCACCTGCGCGTGGGTCTCCGCTGCCGGCGCCGTAGTCCTCCATGTCGGCGTCCCATTCGACGTCTACCTCTTCCACCTCTTCGTGCTTTTCTTCCGGCTTGTCGTCCTTTGGTAGCGCGTCCCTGAGCTTCTGTACCGCGGCGTCGTTCTTCAGCCATCCGTCCTCGGGGAATTCGACGTCGACTACTAGGTATAGATCGCCACGAGCGTCGCTGCGCTTGATAGGCATACCCTCGCCTTCAATCTTGAGGATTTGTCCTGGTCTCAGGACATTGCCGTCTGGTTGTTGTACGTTGAGCTTGAGACCCCGTCCGTCGA